TTTCTTTTCTAATATAGTTTAGATAGATATTGTTGGTAAGCTAGCATTTAACTCATGTATTGTGAGAGATGTAGGTTCTTTCTCATAGTTATATTTTAGTATATATAGAAAATAAAGAACTGATGTTTATCAACGTTAAAAAAAAAAAAAAATGAAATAATATTGAAATAATATTATTAAAAGTTCTATTAAGTACAATATATATAAAATAATCAATATATATATATATATATATAAAGAATAAATATTATATTTGTCTTTTATAAGCTAAAAACCTATATTTAAAAAAATACAAATATTATCTATTATATTATAAATTTTTAAATCTTGTATTAAAAATTTTAAAAAATTGTAATCTTTTTAAATAATAATATATACTGTATTTCTAAAAATATGAATTTTATAAAATATACAATATCTATATATAAGTAGAACAATATCTTTAACAATATAATTTAGCATATACTACTGTATTGCTGTTATAAATTTATTTTTATTTGTAACAATTTAATTTGCAATATACTGTATTTATTCATTTATTTGAAATATTTGAAATATTATAAAAATAAATAAAAGTTAAAATAATTATATTATTATACAATTGTTTATAAAAATTCGAATGGTAAAATTTGTTAAACGTCTTTGTTTTAATAACATTATTATAATTAGATTTGACAGTATATAAAAAATTTCTTATCTTTAAATAGCAAACTAATCCAAGTTATTTTATTTTTATTATAGTTAAATTTAAAAAGACTATTTGAAAATTTAAATTCAGATATAATAAGAAACAGAATATATAAGTTATTTATTTAATATTTACACTAGCGAAAATATTTTTCATTAAGTTCTTAAAATGTATAACTTCTAAGAACCCAGTTGTATTTTTTGCTAGATCAGAAATGTCCCACTGAATTTTTGTCAATTATTTTTAAGGTTACAATTGTTAAGATTTCGGTTTACCACATACATCAAGCATATTATCGTTTTATTCACCGTTCAACGGGGCCTACTTCCACCACGTGACCGAGCATCTCTACTCTTATTACGCTTGGATGATCTTTCCTGTTTTCTGCCCCTCGAAGTCATATTGTGTTGTCGATCATCGTCTGTTGAAAGCGAATAAAAATAGTCATCTCCCGAGTTTTTTCTTCTTATTGATGAGGAATCGTCACTATTTTCACTAAAGTCTCGACTTTTCGAACAATTTTTTCTCATATGACCAACCTGGTAACAATTATAACACTTTATAAGAGGACAATCTCTACTGAAATGACCTTTCTTGTGGCAGCTATGGCACGAATCATAATCTCTCGTGGCACAATTATACACGTCTATTGATTGAGATTCTTTTTCATATTCTTCAGCATCATAATTGTATCCATAAGCATCATTTTTTCTATCCATATTAGCAGGTCTTCTGCAGAGTTCCGAGTTAGCTGATAAAGAAATGAAATTTTTTAGAAAAGCACAGATAATTAGAAGAAATCGCAAAGGATCAATCAAATACTAACACCGGGGGAACTTTGATGAATTGTGTGGCTCAGATGTGGAACTAGTATTATTTCTTTCGCTTTTGTAAGATTCGAAATATTCTCGACGATTTGACTTATTACTTAATAGGAAAATTGAAATATTGTGCATTAAATAATATGTTTATTCGCCTTACGTCAATAAATAATCTCAATCTTACCGTGTTTCCTCGAAGTCTGAATATTGTTCCTTATAATTTTCAGGGTATCTGATAGATTCACAAAATGACCTATTTTTCATGATAGAAATGAATTATTAATATATAACTAATCTTGGGATTATTAATATAAGTACCTAAGCACTTTTTCGTGGTAAGAAACGTTCCTCTCGGTGTTATTGTCCTTTACATAGCTAAAATTAAATTGAAAATTATATTAAAATGCAAGAATATAATGGTATAAATAATAACAAGTTATTCATCTTGTTGACACCTGCCGTGAATCTCTGGAAAGATCAAATTTTTCCTGTCCAGAATGACGTCCTTTGTAAACTAAGAAGGAGGGTGGTTAATATTAAAAAGGTTACATGCGATTCTGAACTTTCTTATTTAAAAAAGAAACCTTACCATCTTCAGAGCTCTCGTATACCTCTACACTATTTGCTGCTTCAGTTTGACTATCAAAAGATCTAGTTCTTTGATTTCGAATGTCAGAAAAACTTCTTGACTCCTTATCAGCATATACATCTTGTTCCTGCTTGATGAAGTTTGACCGATTTGTAGGCATTGGTTTATGATCATTATATCTTAATTGATCATTGCCACTTTGCTCATTGTCAGTAGTACTATCCCATCCGTTATAACCGACAGTCGGATTTCTGGGATGATTTTCCTCCAAATATTCCCATGATTCCAATGAATGCGTCATACCAATCTGTGACTCTTGGTCATTTGAAGTAGAAATGTTTCGAGATTTTCGATCGTTTAAAGAATCATTGTGATCGGAAATCAATGATAAATCGTGCGGTAACGTGTTCTTGTATTCCAATTGATTTTGGTGTAACTCAGTTGAATGAGCCCGTTCATTAGAACCTTTTTTCTCGATATTAGCATCGTTTAATTCAAACTTTTTCAGATCGTTGTTAAAAACCACCTTTATTACAGGAGGACTTTCTGAACTGTATGAATCCGAATTTTTCGAAATCATTTTTTGTGATTCCTGTTTTACTTCACCCCCGCCATTACTAAGATTGCTGATAAGATCCGAATCCTCACATGCTTTCTTCCATTTCTTGGATTTTTTCTTTTTTTTACCCTGAGTGTTTTGACCGTTTCCAAGCGGAACCTCATTTTTTTGCCTTGAAGACTGAAGCCCAGGAACTGATGTGTTCTCATTTACATCAAGAATTTCAAAATCATTGATACGTGTATCTAAAATTCCTACATTCCACGCATCCGTTTCAGAATCTGACTGTGTATTCCAGGATTCATTGAATCCCTCATCAATTTTTTTAGCTGTCTTTTTAGAACTTTTCGATTTTTTAGTGTTGGTTCTAGTGGACGAAGATTTCGTTGACGATTCACCGGAATTTTTTTTCCGTTGGTCAAAATTAGGTTGCTCGTGTGACCCTATATTTATGAGCGAAGAAAATCTTGTCGATGTTGAATCTGTCAAACTTTCACTATTGAAATTAATGACATCGGAGTTTTTTTGATCTCTAAAAAGTCCAAACGAACGCAATAACTCGCGCAAATTCTTTGATGATTCTTCATTCATTTGTGTCATCGCGTCTTCAATTACCATCTCTATTAGATCAATTTTGAGGATACGCGTATCTTCTTTCTTATGATCCTCTTCGACTCCATCGGTTTGAGTTGCTACAGTCTTTGTATTACGGATTATAAGTTCCTCACGATCTACACAATTAATATAAAGTATCATTAAAATCTAAAGTCTTTACGAGAGCTACCAAATTAATGAGCAATGTAATTGATGGAGGTTATTAACATATAAAACAAATACCTCGGTTAATCGGTTGAATGGGATCACGCTCGACCTCTCTTTGTTTTATTGCCGGTTTTATGTCGCTCTTATAATTAGGATGCCATTCTTCAATTTGATCTTTTATGATCTTTTGCTGTAAAAGGATTGATTTTAAAAAGCTTACTCTTATTTTGCGCAGGGACAATTGGATTCAAAAAACTTATTAAACATAAAAAGCTGGTGAAAAACTTGCATAAAATAATTCTTCCGAATCGCATTTGAGTTTATCATCACCCTTGAATTCATTCTGTCTTTTCTTCCCCGAATTGCCTAATGCACTTTTTTTTTTTGTATCCAGATTCTCGTCTTCGGAAGCTTTTAATAAATATACTTCCTCATTGTTAATTTTCTTTTTCTTCTGAACCCTACTTGTATTAGACACATTCTCCTGATGCTTAGGAGACTCACTTAAATGCCAATGGATTTCCTCTTCGTTCTCATCATGTTTAATTGGATTTGGGGGGTTCATTTCACTGTCTACGTCCAATTCAATTGTGCACGCAAATTTCTTTCTATCAGTGCTACTACTAGAACCTGTAACAAAAGGTGATTTCTCGGAATATATATGATTTGTATTTATCATTTCACGCTTTACTTCTTCCAAAATACCAATGGGCGTAGTTGTTTCAACGGAGGGGTCACCCAAAGCTATTTTTGTAGCATTATTTTGATCCTTATCAAGCGGAATTTTTAAGCCCGAACTGAATTTCAATTTAAATTTAATTACACAGTAAGAATATCCACTCAAGGCAAGATACATTTCAAAATTTCTTATTTGTTAGAAATAAAGTTGTATCAAATCTCAAATGCAGTGCTCTTAAAAAATAGTGATACATGTCGGTCTTAACCAATCAGACTGCAGTTCGCATATGTAAATTGTCATTCATTCTAAATAAACAATTATATTTAATTAAAAAAATAATTTAATATATTGTATTACACATATATTTTTAATAATTGATTTTTGCCAAACATTAATATTTATATAATTAAAAATAAATTTTTACAATTGAAAAATGAAATTTTGTTTTTTTTTTTAATATTTATAAAATTATATGATTTATTTGATTTTTTAATTTAAATTATTATCAATATCAAAATTTTTAAAAAATTATTGTATTTATATATTTGAAATTTTAAGTTTTTTAATAAAAATATTTAAAAAAAATTCTTTTTTTTTATATTAAAATAAAATATGTTTTATTGTTTTAATTAAAGAGTAATTGTTAATTATATATTTAATATTTGAATATAAAAATTATTTTTTTTTTATTTGATTTATATATAACAGATATAATTTTTTGAAATTTTTTTAATTTTATATTTTATCTTATAATTAAATAAAAAAATAATTAAAAATTTAAAAATTTTTATTCAAATATATTTTAAAACTTAAAAATAAAAAAGTATAATTTGATTAAAAAATATTTATATTTTAAAATTTTAAATGGTATATAAAAATTTAAAAAAAAAATTTTTTTTAATTGTTATAAACAAATATATTTTTAAAAAATTTTATTAAAAAATTTTATAAAAAAAACTTAGATAAAAAGTTTTTAAAAAATTTAAAGAAAATAAGTTTTAAACTTTCTTCTGATAATGTCTGTTTTGTTAAAAAAAATTTTTTTATAATAATTTTAAGCAAAAAAAATATTTTATTTTCTTTATTATAAGTAAGCTTCAGTTCAAAAACTTAAGAACCTTTAAAACAACTAGTGCAATGAAATGAAATCTCTAGTTGAAATCTATTCAAGTTTGAGAGTCTTGCTTATTCTTCAGTTACATAAGGAAAGATCCATGACAGTTCTTTTTTCTTCAATTCTCTTGTATCCTTTCTTACTCTTATTCTATCATAAAAACTATTCATATTATTACTATTATACTCATTAAACCAAATACTTTCCAAAACACATACTCAAACAGAATTAGAAGTCTACTGTTTGTTTTAAGTCAACTCTTATATACAATATTTTTGTAGCAATATTTGCTGTGCCACCTCCAACTTTCAAAAATTTTTTACCTAAAAAACCAAAATCAGTTTACCCTTCAGATGATTAATGTCCTTCAATTATTTAATCAGATTTCATTTAAAGATTAAAACAAAAATCAAATAAGCTCAAACCAGTTTTGTATTATAATAATGATCACAACAACAACAACAACTAACTTATTATTAACAACCATAATAACAAACAATATCACATGTGCTTTATTATCTATAGCACCTAGAAAATCAGAGAAATGAAACAATGAGCCTGTCTGAAAGTTCTTCTGTTACATATATGAATCTTATAGTATATTTGATTTTGTTTTAGTTATAGTTACTTTTATTTTTCTCTTTAATTTTTTATACTTAAAAAATCAAAAGAATTTACAAAATTTTCTGAAATGGTAGGCATAGCTGCTATTCAGATTTATCTAATACATTAATATTGATTTTGAATTTTTTTATGATATTAGTTAGATATTGTAAAATAAGCAAGCTAGCATTTAACTTTTCTGAAATAATAAAAGTAATATTTTTTTTTTTTAAAAAGAGCAAATGGCTATCATGCTTTATTATATTTATTATACTTTTACTTACAAGGTAAGGTACAATAATCAATA